TATCAAAATATAGTTAAAGTAGCGGCAGTAAAAGTAGTCATTGTGCAGATTGGTCCATTTCAGAATTATATATATGATATGTTTTATAATGATTGATCATTAAAGTGTTCTCAAAGCTGGTAAAGGTTCAGCTAGTTTTAATGACTTTGTATACTGCAGGGTAGCTTGTGGATTTACTCCAGGTGGAACTAAAGTCTGATTTTAAGACCTGATTATATTTCACATCATTCATCCACATATGTAAAGTAACTAAAGGTATTAAATACATGTAGTGGAGTAGAAGTACACCATTTACCTCTGAACTGTAGTGGAGTAGAAGTATACAGTAGCAAAACATTTAAATACTCCAGTAAAGTACAAGTACCTCAACATTTTACTCAAGTACAGTACAATATTTTAACGTAATTGTATATATTTAATTTATTTTACATTTAAATAAAGCAATTAATTCGGTTAACAATTAGTTAGTTTTTCCCTTTAAAAAAATAACAAAAAGTAAATACAAGAATACCGTTAAAGTACTGGATCGATAAGCAGTATCGATAAGACTAGTAGTACCGTAGAAAACCTTAACGATACCCATCCCTAGATATTACACAAGTAAAGTGTTAAGAGATTGAAATGTTGCTTTACGAATTTCAACACTTGAGGCTGTCACCTTGATTCCAATGTCAGAAACCTGTATTTGCCTAACTGAATTGGTTTAAAGAGAGAAAACATTTTTGACTAAAAGTTGACTAAAATGTAATTTTTCATCGACTAAAAGTAGACTAAAACGTTTTGAGTTTTCTTCAACTAAAACTAATCCTATGAAGGATAGAAATGACTAAAATGTGACTAAAACTAATAACCATTTTTGTCTAAAGACTAAGACTAAATCAAAAACAGCTGCCAAAATTAACACTGGAACTCACACTGTGTAACCTTTAGCCTTCATTATTTTCAGGTGTAAGTTAAGTGAAAAGATGTTTTCTGCTTGTCAAGCCTTGAAGATGCACCTGAGTGATGACCCACCATTATCCAGCAGAGAATTGGTATGTTTTGTTCAGTATATTCAGCTTGAGGGCTGTTGAAGGTCACTATATGTGCATGTGTGTATGAATGTGTGTGCATGTGGAATTGAATGTCACTGCATGGCTGCGGAGGTATGCTAAGGCAGGGTGTGTTCAAGCATACTATTTAAAAAAGAAATGGCTTTTGCATTGGATAGAAAAGGCACAGGAATGTGTCGGCTCTGTCATTTTCTGTTATTACATTTTTCTCGCGCTTGAAAGGAATGACATTTTTGAAAGGAGTAAAAGAGGCTCCTTGCTGCTAGGATCATTTGGTTAAAAAATAGAGAGAATGAAGTTCAACGTTATTTCTCTTACATTCTTGTAAGAAGAAGTTTCTCCTTTATCTTCAAAGTACTTTAAATTATGTTGACTTTTATAGTAGCAAATAACACATTCATGTCTTTTTTTGTCCTTTTGCAGCATGACTGTCTACAAACAATCGAGCAAGAGTGGTTTTCTGTATCCAGCCAAAAGACAGCCACTCCTGACTCAATGGATGATTACTTGTCTGCATTTCGGGTCATTTCACCTTCAGTATTGCAACATATAGCTAATATGGCTGACGGCAATGGAAACACAGCTCTGCACTACAGTGTGTCCCACTCCCACTTTGCAATTGTCAAGAAATTGCTTGATGCAGGTACAGCAATGTAGAGGGTGTTGCATTAGTGCTCTGGTTCTGTGTATCTACAGTATGCTCCCTAATAGCGGGAGCAATTAGGTTACACTGAGTGAATAAGTGAGTGCATCATATGGTGTTTTTTATACAACAAATTAGTCAAAAAAGCTCACAGTTTGACAATAATGACTTAAAATAAGGAAATTGTTTGTATGCTATTGCCTATCCCAGGTGCACACTTTTCAAACTACAAAGTCTAATAAGGATAATAGATTTTTGCGAAAACAGGATGAAGGAAATACATTTGGCAGGCTGCTGCATTACCAGCGACAAAATATGTTGGGTTTTAGCATTAAATCTGTCTTGAAAATAACAATATTTACGACAGATACGAAGATGTACTTTAGAAATCCACTTCTGATGGAGGGGATATAGCATTTTTACTTATTTGTATCAAAAAGCTTTGCTACATTTTTCAAAAGAGATTGATCCTTCCTCTGTATGGTTGAATGGGAGCATAACAATCAGCAAACTAAACACTAACCCACTATTGCAAAAATATACAATGTTATTTTTGAACATTTCAGAAGCATGATTAGAGATTGTTAGTACGTTGCATAAAATGAATAATTGAACCTCTTCTGAAATTGTTAGTGAAGGTAGTTCTGTGCTTTACAGGATGCACTTCATGTGGCTCGTGTAGGCAAGTTCAAATGTAAACTATGTAGAGAGTGGGCCCTTTGAGCAACCTAAAATATATTTGTAATGTTGTGGCTGTGCACTTGATGAGTGTGCATTCGATGTCAGAAGACACAATCGGAGTGTTTCAATTTGAAACTTTTTAGTCAATATAAAGGAAAGACTTTGCGAGTACAAGCAATAAATAAATAAAGTTTTAAATGTTTTTCATCCTTACTTATTCTTGCTTTACTCTACGTTTTTTCTACTCTCGCCAATTGACCACCGTGGCTGCAGAGGTGTGTAACGTTGATCACCAGAACAAAGCCGGGTACACGCCCATCATGCTGGCTGCACTCGCGGCTGTGGAGAGTCCAGAGGAACTGAGAGTTGTGGAGCAGCTCTTCACAAAAGGAGACGTCAATGCCAAGGCCAGCCAGGTCAGAGTGCTCTCATAGGGGTAGGGGCTGTGGGGCCCTGCTGATTCACTCAATGGGCCCTAATAATGTTCTGGGTACTTCTGAAATAAAAAAAACAGCATGTCGTTGACCCGTTAATAACATAAAATTGGATGTGTTTTACTTTTTTAGGTTGCTAGGGTTACTGCAAGTTTAAAAAAGTTTTAGTTCAGGAGCAATTTAAGACTACGTAGAAGGACATGTAACACCCATTTCTAGTTTTTGGTCATAAAGGGCAGAAGTATTAAGGGAAGTTAGCAGCAAACTAATGAAAATAAGTCCTACAACTACTTTAGGTTCATGCATTTATTTGTTTCCACGTTTTCATAAACATCTTGGCTAATTCCATGAAATTGTGAAAGTGAAATAAAGACAATGGGCTGTGCAATGAATTACAATTTCTTGCATAGACATAATTAGTACCATGTTACAAAATCAAGGAAAATATATAAGATTAATTTTAGGAAATTGCAGAACCATGCAATAAAGAATTACTATATGTTTTGATGTGTGTATATCTTCAATTAGTGAAGAATGGAGAAAGTGTGAGCTCTATGGTTCCACCACCAAGCTGTGATTCCTTATTTGAAATGTCTGACATGTGCCAACTCTGCATCATTAACCCTGTTTCCTGTCTGACCCTGTGGTCTGCGTGCAGGCTGGTCAGACGGCTCTGATGCTGGCTGTGAGTCACGGCAGGACGGACATGGTGCGGGCTCTGCTGGACCGAGGGGCCGACGTCAACTTGCAGGATGACGAGGGCTCCACGGCGCTCATGTGCTCCAGCGAGCACGGACACGCTCACATCGTCAGACTGCTGCTGGCACAAGACCACTGTGATGCCACCCTGAATGACAGTGTATGTGAGTCAGTATCTCGCCTCTGGGCAGCCTCTAAAAATGTGGTGGCTTCAAGCTTTGAAACTAAGGGATTCCCACTTTGTGTTAAATTTCACATCCATGTAGTATTATAAAAGCAGAGTTAACATTCAATATATCAAGGAGACAAAGGCAAATCAATTGTATTTAATGGAATATGTAGGAGGCTCAGGGGGAAGAATAGTTGTCTAACAACAGAATGGTTGTGGTTCCATCACCATCCTCTGCAGGAGGAAGTGTTGAAGTGTTTTGGGGTAAGATACTGAAGCCCAAAAATGTGTCCTGTAAGCATGGCGTAGATCCAATCCAACTTTATTTATAAAGCACTTTAAAACCTCCAGACCAAAGTGCTGTACAGAGATACATCAAATATAAAATCACACAGCTCAGCTCAAATAACATAAAATAAGTATGAAATCACATAAAAGATATGAAACACAAAACAAACCAGAATAAACGTAACAATTACAAAATAAAAATAAAAACATATAAACAACCA